GTGAAAACTCTTGAAAACAACAAGACTGTTTTGTCTTATTGCACAAATTAAAATCCAGCTCCACGTGTTTCTATTAATGTCATTTCCTCGCTAGAAAAAAATGTGTGATGGAGGTCCATGGAAGGTAAATTTAAAGTTAAAATTAAAGTTTAAATCAAATAAGCCAAAGAGGATGGAGTTAAAATAAATAAAATGTATTCAAGCTACGTTTTGAGCATCCAAAACACGTCCAACACTTATTCTGCTTGTTAATGCTGATATTATGACATGGATACACTACAACCTAAAAAGTAAACTTACATAGTTACATGATTTATATGAAGTTAGGATAATTTAGCTGTAGAGTACTGTAGTCGTTTGCAATCTAATGTTAATTTTTCTAAGATGATATGGAGTTTTTGGCAGCACTGATTTTAAGACCATTTAATAAATGTTTCTAACACAAACCTAAACATGTAGAAACTACAACACCCAGTTTAACTAAATACATTTCCAATATGTTTATTTAATTCAGCACTAGTAAATGGAAACAATCACATAAAATGTTTTTTTGTTTTGTTTTGATGGGAACAAGCTGAGCGTGAGTCACAGTCTGAGTTTCAGTCTGAGGGAAAACCTCAGCGACGAGGAGAGGCGGGCCAAGAGGCCGTCGCCACGGTAACCGGGCGGTTCAAAGTGTTGGCGTGCAGACGGCTCATGTCCAGACATGAAAACCTACAACATGTCTCAGAGTTTTCACTCTGCGGAGAGGAGAAGAGGGAGGGAACGACACACAGAACAGAATAAAACACAAGAAATGAGGGAGAATAAAGCCTTAAAATAAATTAATCATAAACAGACGAGTTTAAAAAAAATCATAAACAGACGAGTTCTGAATGAGAGGCAGCAGAGAGAAGAAGAGATGAAAGAAGAAAAGGAGATAAACGGTAACGATGGACTGATAAGGAAAGATTTACAACTGAAACAAGTTTTTACAAAGCTCTGAAGGTTTATTATCGTGCTTGAGTTTATCTCTATTAAACCTTTTGTCTGAAATATTCATCTTTTACTTCTGTTTTTATTATAAATTGAAAGAAAATGTTTGCCTGGGTCTGTTTTGTCAGAATGTGTGTGTGGATGATGTGAACTTGAAGCAGCCACCCCCATGTGTTCTCATTTTGGACCTTCATCACCTGGTCCTCCTCTGCATGTTGAGCCTCCTGCTGGAGTCTCTGATCAGTTTAGACTTTCTTTAAACAACATCTGCTCTATAACAAACATTTAATGAGAGGTTTAGAAATCTGCTGAAAGAAGGAAAAAGTAAATTTACAAACGTAGCTGATGACACGTTAATGTCTTACAGGAATAAAGTTCTTCTTAGTAACATTTAAAGATACGATCTGTGTCAGTTTCTTTGGTTTTACTTTGCCTCATCAGATGTCTGTCACAAGTTGTTCTGATGCTGACTTCCTTTTATTTATTTTTCCAGCTGCAGGTCAGAACCCGGACCATGTTCTGCTGGGGGAGGGTGGTAAACCTGAGGCCCGGCGTCCTGGTGAGGACTCCACCATCGCACCCGAGGACCTCCCTCGATTCCTGAGCTGCTACTGCTCCGGACACTGTCCTGACGATGCCACCAACAACACCTGCCAGTGAGTCTGAAGAGCCATGGGTGGGGGGGTTATTAGAAATAAACTCTTTAAATGTCAGTTATTACACCACTATTCAGATTAATCAGTAATCTGCAGTTATGTTGACTCTTTTTCTAAAAGCTGTTTGTTGATGTGAACGTTTGTGTCCTCAGGACCAACGGTCAGTGCTTCGCCATCATCGAGGAAGACGAGCACGGAGATGTTCTTCTTACCTCCGGGTGCATGAAGTACGAAGGCTCCCACTTCCAGTGCAAGGTGCGCTAATGTCACACAGTCAGCTGTGGTCACCTGAATAAAAGCACAAAATCACACACTGAAATCCTGAGGAAAGTCCTTAAAAGTCTTAATCCAGCAGATCTGGGTTGAGTTAACCCTCTGGTGAGTTGACATTCATACGGGCTGCAGGTGTTTTCTACTCAACACTGCTTCAATAAGATGCTTTTACTTGTTCTGTTGGTACAATTTAAAAACTGATGCGTAGTTAATGTCTGAACTTTTCACACAAATTGAAAGAAGCTGCATCTTTCCTGCTACAACCGTTGAAGTCATCATGTGACCTGAAGGAGCTGGCACCTCCCTCCACTCCTGAGAGTGAACCAGCTTCTTTGTCTACGGGTCAAATCAGCCACTGGTTTTAATCTGACCATCTCAGATTTGGATGAAAATCGACATGTGTGTCATTTGTGATCCCACAGGCAGTATCACTGGTTCCAGAGGAATGACCCCCCAAAATTTCAGATTTTCTTCCATCAATGGGCGCATCAACCTGTTTTCAACCCCAATTATCTCAGGAACTACAATTTTTGTAAACTTGGTATCACTGGAAAATAAATTTGATAAGTATCCAAATCTGCCTTTATATTTATAATTTATTGTATAAATTCCAAACTTGGGGGCCGTATCTCTGGAACCATTGGTCTGATTGACCTAAAATTTGAGATACTGTGCTGTGGGATCACAATAATATTAGGTGGTTGAGTTAAAACCTCTTTTTTGTCTTGTGATTTGACACAGAATGACCCTTATGTCTCATGGTTTTGAGGTTTTGTACAGGAAGGTAATTCTTAAATTAACATAAACTTGGTGCTCAGGTGACCTAAAACCTCAAACACACCCACAGAGGTTTCATTCTGCTCTCTGACTGGATGATGGGTTTGATTGACAGGACTCTCCCAACGCTCAGAGCAGGAGGACGATCGAGTGCTGCAACACAGATTTCTGTAACGGAGACCTGAGACCCACCCTGCCGCCGCAGATTCCCATGGGTAAGCTTTCAGCTGGTGTCGGAGCTGCGAGTCGTGTTCAGTTAACCTCAGTGCTGCTTGTTCCTGCAGAGAGCAGCTCCCATTGGCTCGCCTTCCTCATCTCCATGACCGTCTGCTGCTGCACTCTCATCTGCGTCACCATCGTCTTCTACTACAAGTAGGAGCTGAGCTGAAATAACATTTGTAGATTTGGCAAACAAAATATTTGTTTTATGAATAAACGTCTAAAAATGCATAATTCTGCAATTTACTTGTTTTAGTATTTCAAACGTACATTTGGCTAATATTAAGACTGCTGTCCTGATTTTTTGTGTACAAATTGAGTGATCTTGATCGGTGAACTATAATGTTGCATAATTTTCAAAGTAATCAAATCAACCTTTTATTATTATTAATATTAATATTAATATTATTCTAATGACAAATCTTTTGTAGACTCATTTTCTGGTTTCATATAGTTCAGGTTAATTTAGTTTTAAATTTTAAATGTTTTGAAAGTCAGACTCATATAAAAGGCAACATATAGTTTGAATTCTTGTGATCACAGCAGATAAAATGAAGACCTCCAAAAGAAACCTAAAGCATCACAGATAAACCTCCTGAATGATTAAATGTCCAAACAATCCAGTTTATTAAAGATGAATTTCTTCAGTTTATTCCCTCTGATTGTTATTTTGTATTATTTTCTTTTGCTTCAGTTTTAATGGAAACATTCTTGGTTTGTTAATTTATAAAATAAATCCAGTGCTTTTAGAACGTGATTGACAGCTCAGTAAGCCAATAGGAGCTTTCACATCATGTCCTCAGAATTACAAAAACCAACAAGCCTGTTGGTTCTTTAAACTTATTTACTGTAGTTGACCAGATGATAGTAAAACAGATCAACAGTGTGCTTTGTGTTTTACATAAAAACAGTTCAGAGTGATTATTTTCCTACTGATAAAACAGTTAAATTATTCCTGACTTGTTTCTTGACTAAATGAACCTCTCGGTAACACCGTGTGTGTTTTAAACAGATATAAGTGGCAGACTGAACGTGACCGGTACCCTAAGGACGTGGAACAGGAAGTCTTTATTCGAGGCGGAGAGTCACTCAAAGATCTCATTCATCAGTCGCAGAGCTCTGGCAGTGGCTCAGGGCTCCCCCTGCTGGTAGGAACCACACATGACACACTACACCCAGTCACTAAACAGGACTTTTTCCTGACATCTGCTTCTGGAAGATGGCAAAAATATATATAGTTATATTTTTAAACAACTGACACAATTACAAAACATAAATAAATAAAAGATTACAAGAAAAAAATGTAAACAAACAAGGGGCAGATAAGAATTTTGATACAGAAATAAAAGTAAATTACGATTTGGGTAAAAAAATTTGTGATGTCATGTTCGTGTCCTTCAGGTGCAGCGGACCATCGCCAAGCAGATCCAGATGGTTCGTCAGATTGGGAAAGGTCGCTACGGCGAGGTGTGGTTGGGCCGCTGGAGAGGCGAGAAGGTGGCCGTCAAAGTCTTCTTCACCCGCGAGGAGGCCAGCTGGTTCCGTGAGACTGAGATCTACCAGACGGTCCTGATGAGACACGAGAACATCCTCGGTTAGCTTCACAGAGCCAGCGTTTGTTCACTCAGTTCAACTTGTTTGAACTGGACACAGTTCTAGTGAAAACCTCATTTTGCCTCACTGATGAAAAGGCCAAATGGTTAGACCTTTAGACAAACATAACATGATACGTTTTATTTTAACAAAACATTTCTGGTAGAAAAAAAGAGTCATTAATACAATGTAAGCAGCTTCTCATTGAACAATCTTCAATTTTATGTTACTTAAAACTGCTTCTTAACGGCTCTAAATTAGAAATATGGAGAATGGCATCATTTTAAGATTAGCCAAGTTGTAAAATTCAAGCACAAAAATAGCAGTTTATTTAACAATAAACAATAAAACAGCCTAAAACGTTCATGCTTCTTGCCCAACCATTTCTACTACAAATGTGAGAATCACTGCGTGTCCGTCCTGCAGGCTTCATCGCTGCAGATATCAAAGGTTCGGGCGCCTCCACCCAGCTCTTCCTCATAACAGACCACCACGAGAGCGGCTCTCTGTACGACCACCTGAAGCTGAACACGCTGGACGCTCAGGCGCTGCTCCGGCTGGCATACTCGGCGGCCTGCGGCCTCTGTCACCTGCACACCGAGATCTACGGCACGCAAGGCAAGCCGGCCATCGCCCACCGAGACCTGAAGAGCAAGAACATCTTGGTGAAGAAGAACGGCACCTGCTGCATCGCCGACCTCGGCCTCGCTGTCAAGTTCAACAGGTGATGAAATGTTTAACCTGCTCGTGAGTCTGAAGACCAACTGCTGCTGGAGGGTTTACAGAACCAGTAATGAGGGATGAAAGTCAGACTCGTGTTAGACTCATTTTGGGTTTGTTTATTCAAAGGCAGCACTGTGCCACAGCTGTAAACATATTAAGATTTTAATGAACTCTACCACAGCGACACAAACGAGGTGGACGTCCCTCTGAGCACTCGAGTGGGGACGAGGCGCTACATGGCCCCCGAAGTCCTGGAGGAGAGCCTGAACAAGAACCACTTCCAGGCCTACATCATGGCCGACATCTACAGCTACGGCCTCATCGTGTGGGAGATGACCAGACGCTGTGTCACCGGAGGTGTGTGTGTACACACACACACACACACACACACACACACACACAGATACATGTTTTAATATGCACACCACACCAACACTTGTATAAGTCTGCAGATGAGTCCATAATAAATCTTCAGCTTGGAAGGTTTAAGAATCTGCTTCAAGTCTGTTAAAAATGATAAACATCACCAAGAGGAAGAGTACAGAGTCCATAATCAGAGGGACTCATGGATGGATGCTTTCCTTCCTTCTTTCATTCTTTCATCCATCCCTTCCTTCCTTCCTACCTTACGTCTACATATACTCGCTTCTTAATTTACTTACTAATGTTTTACCTTACTTAATTTCTATCTGTTTTACTCACTTCATACCTTATTTTCAAACTTCCTAGCTTACTCACTTACTGCCTAATTTACTTGCCTATGTTGTACTTACTTACTTTTGGTGCGTTCACACCGAACGCGATTTCAGCATCAGGAGCAGCAGGTTTACATACAAAGTCTATGGTGGACGCGCTTCAAGCAACGTCGGGAAGTGCTGCGGCGCCTCAAGCGCGATTAGAGCAGCGCGATTTGAACGATTTGGACGATCTGAGCGTCGAACGCTCAGATCGTCCAAATC